ATTAATTCTAATATTTTTTGTTTTGTAAGCACTGTAAGAAAATAATTTTGAAATTTAATAAATAAAAATGAGAATAATGAAATGGGAACGGCTCTGAAGAGTTCAAAAATTATATAAAAATATTATGGTATATAGCAGGAAGAAACTTGTGGTCATATTAACTACTAAGTGTAAAATACACGAGGATAGAACAAAATTTTTTAATTATCAAATATTTATACAAATTTACAGAAAACCAAAAAAAAAAAAAAAATTTCGTATGATTCATGAATAATTTTTTTTGTTTTCCCTTGGCTTTTTCAATATGTACAAACATACTCAATTTTAATAACAACAATAATCACCTTAAATATTGGCACTTGAGTCTTTTTTTTTTTCATACACCCAACCTTTATTATCTACATGTTTTTTTTAATTTTTTATTATCATTTTTGTATTTTCAAATAATCGGGGTAGGTATTTCACTTTAGACAGAATTTTTTTTTAAGGTAAGTTTTATTTAATTTGGTCTTATGGAAAATTATGTAAATACAATTTTCTTATAGACCTAAAGATAAAAATTGGGTTTTAAACAAGAATTTATTTTATGTTTAGTATGAATTTTACTATAACAGTGGATTTTTTTTCAGTATACTGAAATAATCAGTAATTCACCCTTATTACAATTTTTTTTTGTGTATAAAAAACGAAAATCTAGAAAAGATAACGAAAATCAGTATGGGCTGAATCAACTAAATAGTATGCAATATTAGTAAATTTTTATTATGAAGGTATTTTAAAATTCATTTGTATTATACGTTAAATTGAAGTACGCAGGTGAAAAATAATTCGAAAATTTTACAGGTTATTTTACAAAGTAATAATTAATATTTTCGGTAAGTTTATATTAATCTATATTTGCGCTTTATTTTACGTGGTGGCCTAATTAAAACATCTAATTCTATAACAACAACGTATTACAATTACTGTGAATTAAATAAAAATTTATACAATTTTTTCTCTAATCTTAAAATTTTTATAGATACGAGTACGTGTTCGTTTTTTACCTAACGTGGGTACAGTAAAGTGATTAATTTGAATTTGAGATATTAGGTATACAGTGGATGTCTAAAATACATACATATGTATATTCAAAATTCAATTTTACATCATGTTATTTTTAATTGTTCGAAATTTATCATGAGTGTATAAAACCTTTTAACTTTAGATAATATTTCAAAAATTCTACGGCAGACTAGTCTATGACTCAATTAGGGCACGGCTATCTATGATATCATGTGCTAGCCCTATGCTCTTCCTAGGAGGGGAGGAAAAAAAAAAATTGTAAAATTAAGGAATTATTCCAAATTACAAAGTTCGAACGCTCTCATAATTTTGATTTTGAATTAAATAGAATATTAAAAGGGCACTTGACACTTTTATTAACCTATATATATGTAGGTCTCTTTCTAATAATATTTTTAATATCATCATAAAACAAAATCATACTAAAACGTAATTATTCAATATTATTCACTCGATTCCGGAAATATACTTAATAAATTTCGGATTTGCGGCTCGCATTCATTCTTAAATCGGTATGAGAAAATTTATTAACAACAAAAATTTTTTCAAAATTAAATAAAGTATTTTACAGGTCATTGTATTTTCCACAGAAAATTTCCCATAAGTTTTCCTCGCATAATCAATTAATTTGAAAACTTAATCAATTTATTCTTAAAATAAAAAATTGTCTTTTCTATTTTACAATGATTATTGTTAAAAATTAAAATTTTTTAACTTCTATTGCTCTAAAAATAATGTAATAACAAATAACCGTAATTATTGGAAATTTACTGTTATTGTTTTTTTTTTATCTCAGATTTTTATAGTAAAAACTCAGGAAAAAAATTAATTAAAGCAGTAAAAAGCAATGAAAATGCCAAATAAAAAAAAAAAACAAAGAGCAAAGCAAAATAAAAAATTATTTTACACTATCGTGAATTTTTTTATTACATAATATGAGCAAACATAATTCACAAGTCCAAAACTCACAACAAAAATAAATGCAAAGTAAAAGAACAAGAGGAAGACGGAAGAACAGTTGTTTGTAACTAAATAAATGATAGCCGTCGTAATGTAATACAACACAGAGACAGGAAGAATACAAATAAGTGAAATGCAATATAAAAGGTAAAAAAATGAGCAAAAAGAAAAAAAAAAACCCTTTAAATACTGACGGAACAGTAAAAAAAAAGATAAACATTAAAATGAAAAAAATATGGTGAACTTTTATTAAATAGCCAGTAAATAGCCGAACTATGACAGTAATTTTCCTCTATCTATATAGGAAAAAAGAAAATAATAAAAAAAAAACCACACGCATACAGAAAAGAATTAAAATAATTTTCTCTCCTCTCTCTCGTTTCGTCCCCTCCCTCCAACCTCATTTTAAGGTTAACTGATTTTTATGGTTGAAAGCTCCCCAACCGTTATTCGCATTTTCATGATTTTTAATTTTTATTCTATGTTGTACTTTACTTTTAAATAATTTTAATTCACTATAATTTTCTATATTTTTTCTTATAATCTCACTATATAAATATTTTAAATATGATGTTATAAAATACTTATATGTTTGTATGTGCCTATATATTTTAATCACAAAGATTTTAATTAGAGACTATAAAGTAAATGTGTAATAACGATATTTTACCCTCGTTTCGCACATAATACTGGCAAGTAAATAAGATTGGAGACATGCTTCCATACATAAATTAGGTATTGAAAACTGCTTGTACTTGAGAGGGAAATACTATTTATAATATTGTTATTTACTATGTTAAATGTATATAAACGGTTATAGTAAAAAAAAAAAGAACCCGTGATAAGTAAATAATATTACATTGTATAAAATAATGACCATCATATTATTATTCATAGCATACATATATAACATAATGCTACAATTATACACATAAATTGTGCTATTAAATATAATTTAAATAGTATGACAGTAACTGGCAACAATAATTTAATAATTTCTGTATGAATTAAATTTACACTAAAAATACTTCGAACTACACTAGCCTACACAAAGAAATCGAAGCAGTTAGGAGAAGCAATGACACACATTTAATCCGATAGATGATTTCATATTTATATAGGACAAATACAAACCTTAAAGTGTCATTATTTAAGTCTTGCGCTTCATTTTGTTTTTATTAGAATTTCCATACAAAATACCACTCCCAAATTCCCAAAATATTTGAACAGCACACATAATCTATTTAAGTTTTAAAAATTTTTAAATTTTAACTAAATTAGTAAAAATTACATAAGATGACAACAATTTCTTATACCACTGAATTAAAACAAAATATTTTGGAATTGAAATTAATTAAAATAAAAATTATCAAATTGTAATGTTAAGTAAGTATTTAAACAAAAAATGTATTGAAGCCTCAATTTGTAAACCGTACTTATAACTACATACAAAAATTTACTGGCATTTCTAACTAAAAGAGGTGTTTGAGAGAACCTAATTGCAGCAACTGCAAACAAATTATAAATACGAATATACTAAACGGGATTACAATTACTTATCCAAGTTTCAAACCAAAAAATCTAATTTTTCCGAAAGGTATTATAAACTCAAACTATACATCCACCTACATTATATAATTAATCAAAAATAACCGTTATTTTTCAATTTTTTTTTTCTCTGAACATATTTTTGTTTTTATAATTTTTCTATTGTGCTCTAGTTTCTATTTCTCTATTCTATATAAAAGTAGAGCAAAAACAGCATAAAACCAAAACAAAAAAAAATTATAAAAGCTTATAAAGAATACAGCAAAAATAATTTCCTTGAACTAGCGAAAATAAAAAAAAAAATATTTTATTATTATTATTTATCTGTACACATGTGTTTAAACAAATATACAAAATGGAATATTTGCAAAAAAATTTTTTTTTTTAATTTTTTAATCATGTTTAAATAAAAATTGAATTTTTGTTATCAGTTAGACATTAATTTTAATTTGTTCTGTTATCAATTAATTTTATGTTATTTTGATATTTTTTTTTTTAAATTAACGAAAAAAAAAATAATTTTTATAAATATATTTGCAAAAAAATAAACCTGACCCGCCTATATTTATTCTAAAAACCTTGTATTCAATAATTCTATGGGAATTTTTTTTTTATTCTCTCCAATAAACAAGCATATTTATAAAGAGAAACTGACATTGTTGAATTTTATTTGAAATATAAACGCTGACAATCGCATGATTTTTGATTATTTATTTTAATGCAAATATAAAATGTTGACCATTTAATTAAATTTATACGATTTCACGTTGCAAGAACGATCATTTTTCATATGGGAAAAATAAATATTTTTATTGTATAATCAAATTATGAAATAATCACGTTGCAATAAAGGTAAACTGGACATAGTTGTACTGATCAATTACAATGAAATGATATTAAAATTAAATAAATACAATGTTGAACAACAATTCTCTTTTCTTACTAAATAAAATTGAAAATTTTTGAATGGTTGTGATCGTGAGCTAAAATCAACCAGTATATGTTACGAGTATTACTAAAATTTAGAGAAAATTTTTCTTTGCATTGATATATAGCAAAAATATTGTTGTTGAGAGATCAAAGGACATTTTATGTTTTATTAATAGTAAATTATGCAAAGTGTATTTTCAAATTTATAAGAAAATCGATTTCTAACATGAAAATTTAAAACAACTAAAGCCTCGAAATTCAGAACAAAACACATATTACCCCCAAAAACGTAAATAATTATGACTGCGCGTGCGGTTGGAAGCTCATCAAATTAATCAACTTTTTCATTACAAAGTATAATGGGTAATTTCTGGCAAAATAAGAGTAATTACCTAATCAGAACTCGTAAAATACGAATTATTCTTTATGGTTTTTAATATTAATTTTTTACAAATTTTTCTAATAAAATAGAATAAAAATTTCACTTAAACACATACCTGTTTTGTTGGTGAATGATATTTAAATAAACTTCTTTTAGCACTTGGTGTATATGAATTTTCATTTCTTTCATCACTAACTGCTTTAACATCTTCGATTGCAGTACCAAGTAATTCATTTTTTAATAAACATGAATATGCTAAACTATCACGTACTGATTCACCACAATCACGTTGTTTTTTATTTGTTGACGGTGAATTTTCATTTGATTTACTAATTGAAGCAAAATTAGTTTGCCAATTATTATTTGCCCTGTAACACACAAAAAAAAAAAAAAATGTAAAAAATTAATCTTTAAATTTAATTTATCGTTAATTTTAAACTACTAAATTTACTAAAAATACTAAAACTAAAATAATTATTATATTCTTTAATTCGAAGGCTCTAAAACAATTTTGTGGCAAAAGTTAAAAAAATATTTGAATGCCACAGAATTTCAACTACACAAAGACTGGAAATTAAAATATGAAAAGCGGATTTTTCAAATTGATTAGGTAATATTTTCGTGATTTTTCCCTTCCTACAAGATAGAGCCAAAAACTTTAGTTCTAACGTAATATATAAAGGGATGGTTTTGATAGGCAAGCTGTAATCGAACGTTCGATGACGACCTAGTTGTTACAGATTCACAGTGATAACAATCAGAGTTTAAATGCTAAACAAAAAATAATCAAAGTTACGAAGAGGCAATCAAAGTCGAAATGCTAAATAAAATAAAATTATAATAATTGGTTTTAAAAATTTATTTGTACTCTCTAAACTGCTGAAATTTCGAAATAAGCAATAGATTTGAGTTTTCATATCCGAGTATTTATTCGAATTGTAATTTGTATATGCAATATTAACCCAATTGATAACAATAATTTCTTTTGTCAATTTTTTAACAAATTTCTTATACTATATTAAATGTTCTAAAGAAACAATGCGAAAGCCATGATACACTTGCAAAACACAAAAATTAATAATAAATTTAATAAAAATTACAATTTTTTTAACCCATAGAGCGCAATTTTTTAGAAGTAATAGCAAATTTAATTATTAACTAGAAATAAAAAATTTCAACATAAACAAAATTAATAAACTTAATTTTTAAATTGCTTCCCTGTATGCCTAACATATTGTATACTTGTGAAGTAAAAAGTACCAGATACCTTCATATTTAGGTAAACAATCAAATTTTTATAAGGTAAGCTAGAAAAAAAAGAAGACTGGTAACATCTGTCATCCCTTTCTAAGAATATTGGTAGCAATTTTCATAGTTAAATTGTAATGTTCACTTCTTATTCATAATTTTTATATTTAGGTACTAAGGATGTTGCACTCATGCATTGAATATTACGATCTTAACAAAAATATTGTTCTTGTAGGTAAGTACTTTGCACTACATTCAAAATTTGAAATGTATCATTGCCGAGTACCATATGTTTAATGATTATTTGTAAAAATTTTAATATACTTAAACAATAATATAATTTTTAAATTTACATAAGTTATAGAAATTTAGAATGGAGTTGATTAATTTTTAGAAGTAATTTTATGTATTTTATTTCTCGTACTCATAATGGAATATAATATAGCACTCCAAAATATCTGTTGCAAAACTAATCAAACTGCAGTTTAACAAAAATTCCAAATTTTAAACTTATTCAACTATTAACACTAAATTTACTTGGACTCCATAATACAGAACACCTCAATTAAATCCTAACAATAATATGATATTTTGAAATTTGAATTTTATTTCAGCCCCAGAAAAACCATACTTAGAAAATTTCTCACACGATTTCTGATTTTCAAATCACATGGCTTTTCTTTTGGTTCATTGTAATGTTGTTTAAATTGCAAAATTTTTTACAAATACAAAAAAAAAACAACGTGTGTAATTAAAGACCATTATTTTATTCATTTCCTTATTTAATTGCATTAAAATTTCCCATATAAAAATTGAAATTTGATTAAAATGTTAGGTAAATTTTAATAAAACGTGAAAAAAAGGCAAAATCAAAATTTACCCATAATTTTTTCAATTCTTATCACGTTGCAAATTTTTTTTTTTGCTTGGGTACCCCCCTTGTTTACCTTTCATTTATTCTAATTTTTGATTTATTTTCAAATTTTAAAACAATTAAAACAATAGCACGCTTCAATTTTTTTTTTTTTGAAATTTTGAATTGTGAAAGACAGAGGAAATTGAATAACTAAACAATTTGTAAAATAAATTATTTACTTAGTTTCCTATTACTTAATGAAATTGTATTTTGATTTAAAGAAATGAGAGTCTATCTATAATAAAATAAAGGATTAAATATTATGTACAGCTTGGTTATACTTAAGATGTAGCTGCAAAATTTTGAAATTACGGTCGAAATCGGAGTTCAAAATTTAAATTTATATTAAGATCAGAATCGTCGGGATCAGAATCTAAATTGAAATTTAAAATAAAAACGGAGTCTTGATTGACGCAAATAAAGTGATTGGAAAATTTACCCGAAATTAATACTTAGCCTACAAAAATTTTAAGGAATTCAATCGCTTATTTCTGTTAAAATTTAAGTTTCAAAAACTTTTTGCTTTAACTATTCAACATTAATTAAAGCTTAAACCCAAATTACGTCACTTTTTCCAGGAAATGTAAAAAAATTCTCAATTAAATTAACATTAAAGTTTAATTAATTTAATTAAAGTCTTAAACTGTTAGATTCAGCATCAAAGTTTCAGTTTGTTGACGAATTTGTTTTACTATCACATTTCATTCATTATTTTATAGAAACCCTCCAAAAAAAAAAAACAAGAAAAGAATAAAATTATTCAAATTTTTTTTTCATTTAACAATTTCTTATTTCATTGATTTCATTTCTGAATGTTTACAGTGATCGCTGTCCACCGGAATTTCTTTAAAAAAAAATCTTCCCCAAATTCAATATTTACCAACAAAACAAACCAGAAAAACTAAATAAAAAGGGGGACAAAATGTTTATATTTTTTTTTTTGCTATTTTTTATCTTCTTTTGTTTACCCACTAACTTAGTTTTTTAAAAATTTTATTGATTGATGAAAATATGTATGTATTACGCAATATTCAAGTGTTTGATGACCAACTTAAATGCGCAAACATAGAAATAAAGTTTGTATGAGTACCATGTTTAATAATAATTTAAAATTCAAATTGTAATTTTCGACTTTCTTTGTATTTAAATAAAATTTTCATAAAAATTAATTGTAATTCTGTTTATAATTCATTGTACCCTTAAAACTCTATAGCTAGTAAGAAAACATGATTTCCACATTACAATTTCCAATTAATTTAATTAAAACTAAAAAACTATTTAAGCACGTTTTGTTAATTTTTTTAAAAACATTTTATTTTTTTTAAATGTTTTGCTTTTTGTAAAAATTTTTATTGCAAATTTGTAATAAAAACAAAAAAGTCACAAAAATTGTTATTGCAATATGAAAATTACAAATTACGGCTGCCTTAATCGCTTTTAAAAATAAAAAACAAAGAACATTAAAATAAGCTATTAAAAAAAAGTATTATGAAATTTGAGTTTAAAGTGATTTTGTTGTGTCACTAAAATTATTTTAAAATTTACTGTTTTTTAATGAAATTTTTTCTAAAAATATAAAGTATTTTTGTCTAATGAGTGTTTGAGTGTCGAAATTAAGTCGAAATAAAATATAAAATGAACATAAAATGCAATATGCAAGCCAAAATATTTGCTTCATAGAAAATTTTTCCCATAAAAGACCGGAAATTATTTTTAAAAACAAATCTTTTTACTAATTACTCAACTAAAATCATAAGATTTTTTATATGTTAGCGTACTTTTTGGCTCAAGAGTTTATACTTTGTCTAATATTGGTCTAGAATTATTGATCGCTTAATAGCCCAATAAAAGAGTAATTTGTTATACGGCAACCATTTGCAAAATTTACAAGATTTCTTCTAAAAAATTTTCAATATTTTGATTTGGAATTTTTGAAAAATTTTATTCATAATTGTTTTAATGGTTAAAATGTTAAAAAAAATCTTACTTAAATCTCATTACACATTGGATGACTACAACTTTCATTTCTAAATTTAAAAAAAAAAAATTGGGTGCGTTTTACTTAATTTTTTTAATGTGAAGTCAAAAAGCTTTTGTTTTTATTTTTGTTTTTTTTTTCGTCTATCTTCAAAACGCATTTTATTGACAAATAGACGCCTACCATTTAAAGACGCTTACCATTTAAAAAATCATATGCCACTTTAAAATGATTAGACCTTAAAAATAGAATTGAAATTGGAATTGTTTGAAAAAAGAAGCATACAAAAAAAAATTTACATCTATGCGATAAAATGCGTACAGAGTGAATGCATAAATTAAAATTTTATAATTAAGAAAAAAAACTCAAATATGCCAGAGATGCTCAACATTTTCTTGAAAATTAAGATTTATACAAACGCGGTATATGAGAATTTTAAACTCATAAATGAGTTAGTAAATTAAAAGTGGACTTATTTTTTAAAATTATTTATTTAATTTAAATGAATTTCTTACCAATTTCTACAAAAGCTCTACAATTAGTGATAGAATTATATAATTAATATCCAAATTTTTATAGTTACTTCACAATAACATTTGATATTTACTTTTTAAAAAGTTTAAACTAAAGTTATAAGAACTAGAATCGATTCTAATTCAAGAAGACTATCCAAAAGAACAAGAAATAGATTTTTAAATAAAAAAAAAATGTCAATACTTTTAAATAATTACCCAAACAAAATTCAAATAACATTATATTGTAATTAATTAGAACTCATAACAATTTCCAACAATTTGATTAGAAATAAAAGTTAGAATCCAAAAATCTAATATGCATAGGGGTTCTCAAAATTATTTTGAAAACCACTCTATTTATTTTAACGCGTAAGTAGGAAATAACACCAATAATGAAGTGTAATAAATTTTTTAAATATTTAAAATATGCTTACTATACACGCATAAATTACATATTTTAAATTATTTAATACTCACGCATATGATTTCACTCTTGAAGGCCTTGAATATTTGAATTTAAAATAGACGACAAAAAAAAAACATGAGAGCTAAAAAGGGAATCAGGGGATATAAAGTGGATAAAAAACATCATATTGAATGAGCTTTTTTAATTTTTTTTTTTTCGAAATTAGAATACCAAATTGCAAATATTTGTGTACGAAATTTTTAAAAAAATTTTGAAATAAAATTGTGTTTTTATGTTATTGTGTTACAATTCTGGAACACTATGATAATTTTTGTTTACACGAATATCTTGCATTATTGGAAAATAAATTTTCAATAATTATGAAAATATTTCTATATTTTAATTTTTCAAAATTACTAAACAATTTCAAATTTTTAATTAAATACCTTTTTTCTGTACTTAATGCCAAAAATTAAAAGATGTCATAAATAGACCTAATAATTGAATATAATTAAATACAAAAATATCACACACTTGTTTTCATCCTACTCTTTTTTTTGTTTTTTTTTTCTAAATGAAGGTGGATGAACTACAATAGGATTATTAATTTTATAAAAATCATTTCGATTTGAAAATCATTTTTACATACCTTAATTTGTTGAATTTATTTTATGAAATGATTTTATAATTACAAAAAAAAAATGAAAAACTTATTTTGTAAATCCTCTAATTGAAAAATTTAGCATGTAATCAAAATGTTTTGATGATTGATTTAAAAAAAAAAAAAATTGCTATTTTTTTGTTTATTTTAGGTGTGTGCTGAGGGATTTAAAAATTTTTAAGCCTTACTTTCATAAAATATTTTCTTAATTAAAGTCTTTTCAAGAGAATACAAGAAAAGTTGATAAAGTTTTTAAAAATTCAAAACAAAAAAAAAATTGATCCAATCCTACCCACCCTCCCTTATCGAATAATTTTTAGGAACTTTTTTTTTTTTTTCAATTAAAGTATTAAGTTTTGAAAACTGGATCACTGTAGAAGAACATCTCTACTGATCAAATATCTAAATCTAAATCTGGTAACATATAAAATAATACTAAATTTTCAAAGACAACTACTCTTTTTTATTTAAACTTAAGTACCTTCATTAAAAAAGATTAATTTAAAACAAGTTTATTTTACTTAATTGTTTGTCATCAAATACTGTTCAAAGAAACTAGCCTAAATCTTCATGATATTAACTTAATACTTATTAATTTTAACAGCAATTGAAATGTTAGCTTTCACATTTAAATACCTATTAAATAATTAATAGTACAACTTTTGAGTAGTATAACACTTAAGTAGATGTTATATGCACAACTGGTTATTAAGTAATAATCAGTAAAAAATAAAACTTTCATTAGTAATTAACAGTTTTTAAATAAAAGTTGTAATTAAGCACACCCTTTACATGCAAGACCTTAATTATATAACAAAAATTAATGAAGACATTTTAAATAAATATAAGTATTAGAACTCAAAAAAACTTGCAGGTTAGCTAGTAACAATTAAATTAAAATAATTAAAATTTGCAAAAACGTCATAACTACTAGTGAAAGAATTTCACACCATAAAAATTAAAAAAATTAATTTTTTATTCTCGTTATTGAACACTCAATTAATTCAAGTGTAAACAAAAATTTCAGAAATTTATTTTTTAAATTCATAAATAATTAGTCTTGAGAACTTAATGCAAAAATTATTTTTATCCCACAATTAAAAATTCAAATTTTAAATCTTTAAAGAACTCGTTAAGGTACTGAAAGACAATAAAAGTCATTCCATTTTAAAAAATTAATTTTAAATATTAACTATAAACTAAGACCAAATTATCTAAATTAAATGCATAAATGAATTTTTGTTTTTAAATTCAATTGAATATTGAAAAAACTATGAATAACGACTCACTGCTTATAGATAAACTAAAACAAAAAATTAAATTAAATCGAATTAAGTAAGTCATTAACCTCATTTTATGTTTCTTTTTCTTTTTTTTTTTTCTCATTTTGTCATTTTTAATTCATATTTTTAAAACTTATTTATACATATGCATATATTCTTATACATAGATATTTTAAAATATAAAATGATATATAAATAAATTAAAAATAAGACAATTCAATGATTAATATTTTAAGAAATGAAAAACAATAAAGAAAATATTCCGGAATATCAAAAATAAGCCAAGGCAAAAATTTTTCTTTAGGAATTAAAATATGGAATTTATTTTAATGAAAAGTTTTTCTATATGAAAACCTAAGTACATATATGTATATTATGCATATAATCGTACATTTTTCATGTGTGTTCTGGGCAAATTTCCAAAAATAAAAAATTTGAATTATTAAAAGTTATTAACTAAGAAAATAAAATGATGACTAGTTTAACATATTTTTATATAGCAAATTAATCAGCAAATATAGCAAATTAATCATATTCGAAAAGCTAATGCATAATGAAAATTTAACATAACTTCAAGTTTATAGTTGTTAAGTAACCAATAACAATTTTGACACATGGACATATTTTAATATTGTATTAGGTTGTATCCTAACCATTAGTCAGCAATGATTATTTTTAAATTTTATTTCTCTTACTTAATTCTATTCAAGAATACTTTTTATTAACATACTTTTTTTGACCTGAATAATTTACAAATTGAATTAAAAATTTTGAAATGATAAACAAAGTTAAAATAATTTGAATTTAAAAAATTTTCATTTATGTACGTAATTAATACATCAATTTTACTTAACTTAACTAAATAAGTGGAATATAAACATTTTGTCAACTCCCAATCAAAACTATTGAATCCCGAGTAGGATTTAATGTGTATTTCTTGTCTCACAAAATTAAATATTAAGTAAGTCTATTTCTTAAATTTTTTTGATATCCGAAAGGAATATCACAACTACATAATTTATCTAAAAAAGACAACTAGTTAAATAGTTTTACAATTACCTGCAAGGTATAAATCGATCCAGCGATGTTGATGTACTAACTGCTTCAAATGAATTATATAAATTTTTAGCAACTGGACTATAATGTACTAAAATCCGTTTCTCATATTCTGATGTATACATTTTTGCTTATTTTATAAATATTTTTCCTCTAATTTTTTTATTTTATTTCTGTTTCTCCGTTTAATTCACAAAAATTTAATTAAACAAAAAGAATATTTTACTTTCTTTCTATTTTTTTCTTCTTCTCCGTTTCTTGTCTTGTATTTCACGTGGGTTTTGAAATTATTACAAAAAATTCATATAAGTATATTCATATAAAAATGCTGATGAACTTCTTTAAGAATGTCCAAATTTGGAACATATAAGTTAGAATAAATTAAGTTCGTCACAATTGAGTTACATACGTATATGAGTGCTCGTAAGTATAGTTGACCTTTTCAAAAAAAAAAAAAATGATTTGAATCTGCGGAAAATTTTGAAATTTTTCCAGTTTCTATTTGATATCAAAATATATATATGTTAAGTGAATGTATTTCCAGAATTAAAATATAGTCTGCAACCGGGGTTCAAAAAATTTCTTATAAAATATATAATTTTTTTTTTAAATAATTCAGTTAAATATGCAACTATGTAGTTATGTACATATGTTTTTTACTTCGATGATTTTGTTTTTTGTTAATGATGAAGTGAATAATTTCTTCAATAGAAACCAAATGACTTATTTGATGATTTATTTCTAAAAATAGATAAAAAAAAGAAGAGAAATGAAAATAGATATTAGAATTGTATATATGTAAAAAAAATATAAATATCGCAAAAATTGAAATATAAAATTATAAAAAATTTTTGGTTTAAAAAAATAAAAACTCAAAGTAATTTAGATATAGGTTCTTTGTTATTTAATTTTGCTCAGTTTGTTTGCCCATATACCATTGTTTAATGATTAAATTATGATTATTTTTTGTTTCTAGTTTAAAACATAAAATGCAAAAATGATAAGAAAATGATTTATTAAAATCTTGCATTCTTTGCTTTCATGATTAGAATAGAATTTATGTTTAAATGTATGGTTTACTTAAGTTATCAGTTGAAATTCATAATTACTGTTTATCTGTTTAAATTTATAATTACTGTCATTATCTGTTCATTATTGCTGTTTATTACAATTTTACTAGAAAACAATCCCTTACATAACCTGTTTGTTTTTTTAGGTTTCTATAGCTAGCAGAATAGAGTGTGGTGCATCTAACACTAAACGAAAATTTGTGTTATTTTTTAAGATTTTCTTATTAGTAAAATTAATTATAGAATTTTATAAAAATTATTACTTAAGTCATACAAAAATAGGTATACCTACCTAGCCAATTTATCAATAAATTTAAAACACATTAAATTGAATAGGTTTACAAAAGAAGATACATAATTATACAATAACATAATTATAAAATCAATAGTTCTAAGTTATAAAGAAAAAAGTTCTAAGTTATAAAGTTAACTTACTCTCTGATAAAATACAAGTACTTAAATATCAAATATCTCCTAAACATCAGAAATGATAAGTAGTATTTAAAACTAAACGTATGCTGTTATATTTATTGATTTACTACTTTTAATTTTGAATTAATTAAATTAAATTTAGTATAGTAGCACGAAGTATTTCATATTACTTTAACGCTCGTTCTAAACCTATGCTCAAGTACATTTAAACTGGTAATAATTTACTTTTAAATTTAAATTAAATTTTAATTAGATACCTTCCTACTCATAATTCTTTTTATCAGCTCAATTACACTCTTAATAATGATTACTAATTAAATACATGCATTTATGCAAGTACAAATGCATTGTCTTAGAGTTGTATTTAAAATGAATATGAAAAAATATGACAGAGAATTACAAGTAATGCAAATTATTAGTTTACTTTAGTTGCATAATTGTGCTAGGTCATAATTGTTGGAATACTTAAATATTAATAATTTGAATTTTCTAATTTTCAACACATTGTTATTTAATATGCAGTTTAAAGTTTATTTTTAAAAAACTGCATTTTTCAATTATCTTATTAACTACATTAACCATATCTATGTAAGTAGACAAAGCTAAAAACCCAAATATGTCCCAAGGTATCCACATGCAAAGTTTAATGCTAATATATGAATTAATCAATTGCATTTTCTGAAAAGCAATTAGAAATATTAAATGCAATTTTAAATAAGATAAAAAATTATTCAAATCAAATCCATTAATTCAATGTAAACTTTTTAAGGTTATGTTGAAAAAAATTTATTACCAAAGTTTAATAAAAGATGTAATCAAAGAATTTGATTTTAAATCAATGTCATTAAATATAAAAAAATTAATAAATTTTAATTAAAGCTAAATTTTTACCTTTTTCTCCTTTCGAATAAATTTAAAGAATTTTTAATCCAAATATTTCTTGTCCCTTTTTAAATTGCAACTTTCTTTGAAACTTGCAACTAATTTTTATTTCTTCAATTTATATGTATGTTAATTTCTTATTAAAATATATTTTTATTAATAAACACATTCATTCCAAAAAAATGAAATTTGAAAATTAATTTTTAAATTTGATTGATTTTTTTTTTCAAAATTTTCTTTTATTTTGACATTTTGATTTTTCAATTTGTATTTTTTTTTTTGTTCTTCTGTTTATCGCGTCAATAAAACTCCCCGAGAAAATCAAGTCAATTTTTCTTATTTTAAAATCATTTATTTGTAATTATACACTTTATAATTTTCTCATTAAAATTGTTTTATTGAAAAAATTATATTTTTTTTACTAATTTTTCACTTCTACTTTAAATGAACATAAATTATGAATTGTGAAAAATTAAGTGAAATTTTTTGTAAATAAATCAACGCGATTACATTACTACTCTACACTACTATACTTTAATAAATGAAATGACTGATAACGCCACAGCCACAGCAAATACTGAACAAGAAAAAAAAATAAATGCTAAATACAAAACCACATTTTCTAATGACAGATTAGACGTTATTTTTAAATTTTTTTGACATTACATATAATACATTTCAAAAACGCCAAAAGAGATGACAATTATTACTACCACAATGGCAATACAATAAAATTTATCAAGTGGACAAACCATTTGTAAAAATAGTTACCACAATCCTAACTAGGTTGAATAGCTATTAACTTGGCATTAGCCTAGTTAATAAAGTTTATTAGAAATTACAAATAGAAAAAATATTGAAGACATTGTTAATTTTTTTGGAATATCATGCTTACATACTAATACTTGTAATAAATTGAACACATTCAAATGTTTTTCTCCTCATTTAATGTGTAGTAAAAATATTTATCAAATACAAAATTATAACTGATAAATTTTAAGTTTTATAGTTGAAAAAATATTGTATAGAGGCGTAGTTTGGTTTAATAGTTTTCTTTTATAAGAATATGGCGCTGCCAGTTATAATTATATATTTGCAGTTCATTTGTCGCGCTACAATGAAACTACATCTTGTACAGAAATGGTTTGGAGCTTCACTTTAAATGTAAAGGAACAACTATAATTTATATCAAACTTCTCCATTTAAACATTGACATTTTAATTGACAGAATGTAAAAATTTTCGTTCCCACTCATTATGATGTCAACGTCATCTCAATTTTATATTATTTAAATTTTGATATTTTAATATCAAAATTAGGCAATTTTTGTTCACTCGAGTGAACGAAATTTGTATAATAAAAAATATCAATATGTTGTACTTGGTTTTTTTACGTAATTGTATACATTCAAGGTGTTATTTTTGACAAGTTTTGATACTCAAAAATATAAATTAATAAAAATGCCGTACATTTTTTTTAATATAAATTTCCACTTTTATTTCTTTTTTTCCTTTTTTTAAATATAATAATATATACCTATATAATATATCTATATATATTTTTTCTTTTCTCATTGTAATACAACAACATTGTAATAATATGCATAATCTATTTTTTAAGGTTTTTTTTTATTCTTTAGGTAGAGGAATATAACAAATAATAAATTACAAACATTTCTTTTTTCAAGTTTAGTAACATTTTTGTATCATTTTTATTGAATAATAAATTTAAAAGAATTTTCAACATGGTTTTTATTTAATTAACTTTTTGTCTTATAAATTTTTCATCTATTTTCTATGTCTATTTGATTTTTTCTTTGCTTTTTTTTTTTACATTTCAATAGTAATTTTTTCATAGGAGTTAATTTCATTTTATTTTATTTTCTTTTTTTTGTTTTGGTAAATAAATTGTGCAACGATATTACAGTCAGCTTTTTTAGAATATAAAATTACAGTGAATTGCGTAACATGCACAAAGTTTTAAAAAAATTTAAACCATTTATTATCAATGACATAAAAAAATGCATTCACAACCAAACGGTGAAAGGGTATTCGGAATAGTTTTAATCAGCGATATTGGCAAGCTACAGTTTTTCCAATGAAACAAAGGCATATGGCTTGAAATTAAAATATAAAGTTAAAATTATTGCTAAAATGTAAAGTTTTGCAAGATTATGTAAAGTTGTCGAAACTTTCAGAAAATAAAATTATATAAAGTTATTAAAACCTTCAAAATATAAGGTCATACCAGGATTCAAAACCAAGGATGTAAAAAATTATCTTTAAAAACAAAAAGAAATATATTATATAGTTAGAATTTCCACATTTTTTAAGTAAAATATTGCAAAATGTGACAAGCTTCGCCTATTTGTTGGAAAGAAAGGTGACAAGCTTCGCGTTTTTGCTGTAATAAAAACATGTTTTTGTTAATGAAAACTGATTTCACTTAAAGTGTTACACACATCGAGAAGAGAATATTTTGACACTTTATATTTTACAGTGATGTATCATGTATATATCATGTGTAACTCTGTCGTTATATAGTTATTGTTATATATTATTGTTTAATGGTATTGAGCTATGAAATATCTCATTTTATTTAATGTCAACCTTTAAAACGCATAAAAAGTATTATTAAAGTTTTCAACACAATCAAGATGAAAGAAGCACTTTGACAACCAACTTGACAGACTCAAAATTTGTTATGTAATATAAAAATATCAACAACGACTTAAAGCTACCGTCAAGTTGCATGTTTTGACAAGCAGCAGATTCAAAATTAAGGAATAATATAAAAAATTAGTGCTGCTTTGAAATTGCATCTTTATTGCGTGAACTTTCATTTTAATATATTGGAGCGAATTTGCTTTATATATGTCAAAATTTGAAGTTCATCTTTACATTCTGCTTATATTTATAGCTGATGGAACCATTTCATTAGCTTAGTTAACTGAAATTTTTTATCAATAAAAAAAAAACATAGAATTTGTTAACATAGAATTTGTTAACAGAATTTGGTAACATGGGCAGAAAAAATTTTGTGTAAACAGAACAAAAAGTATGTGAGTTTTTAACGTCAATTTGACTATGTCAGAAAGAGCGAGCATTTCCTTTCATAATAAGCCAAGTTACCGTTAAATAAAGTAGTTTAACTACTTTTCTTTAGCAAAAAATCCTGAAATTCGGCAATAATGAGAAGTGTCATATCGTACTTAATTAATCTTGAATGAAATAGAAAATTTAGGATTTTATCTGCTATATTTTTCTGCTTCTATCAAGTTTATTTGCTGAGTTGCGTTTATTTTTGAAATTTTCATTTTAAATTTTCTTTTTGTTTGAATGTATTTAATATTTATTAATCACACTGCATTGAAACTGAATTTATTTTTTTTTTTGAACAAAATTTAACTACCTAGTTTAGCGTTTTTCTTTTCTTTTATCAAAAAGTGTTTTTGTATTTTATATAATTCAAAATATTTTTTGTAAAAATTTAATTTTTTACTATTTATTTTGAGTTTTAGTTGTTACAAATTTCTTTTTTTTTTTCATAGTTTTCTTTTTGGTATAAAAATGTCACAATTTTTTTTGTTACTTTTCAATTTTAAATCAATTTTCATTTTATAGAACAATATGTGTTTTTTAAGATTATTCTTTATATAATTTTTAGTAAATGTTTTTTTTAATTAACTTTCATAAAATGGTTTCCTAAAAACTTTAAATCAAACAAATATTTAACTATGACGTAAACACAAAATAGGATTATAGGCTATTTTACCGCCGTCTCACACCCATGGAAATAAATAATGTCAAAAAAAAAATGCCAGTGGAAAAAGGAATTTTAAGCTATTATACGCCAGCTGTTCAATCTGCAGCGATCATTTCGCGTGATTTTGGGCAGTTCCATTTAAATGTGTTGTATATATGAATTTTGACATTTCGTATCGGTAAATCATTCTTGCTCTGTTTTCAATTTCATGAAATTATTCAACTTTAAAATCAAGGCGTTAAATTAAGTTAATGCATGCCCAAAACTATAAGCAGATCAAAGTTTAAAAATAAAAGGTTGTATAATGTTGCGTTGTGCTCGCTTTAAAACTTTTAAAGTAGATTTTTGTATTAAGTGCGATACTCAACAATGTTGTAGTCGATCACATGCAGCTGGCGGCGAGAAAATTTTAAAAAGTTATGGCTGGTGCTGTGGTTATTGTGGATTGTGATTTGTGAAGCAATTAGTAAAGCTTTCGAAATTTTGAACATTTCATTTTATTAGCAAATTAAAAATTTAAATTCAGTAATAACGCTAATTAATTTCAAATTATTCCACTTTGATTATTAATAAATATTTCATTAAATAGATGTGAAAACTTTGAACTAATTAGAATTTTGTTAACATGAAACGATCTGGGTAAATACGCTCTTAATTCGTAAATTCTTAAACCATTTTACACTTTCCAAAAATTTTTATTAGTTTTTTGTAATTTTTTAATAATATTAATTACATTTTTTTTATACAAACATCAATTTTTAAAATATACATATTATTTTGTGATGCAAAATACCTACATTTATAAACATGTAGAGAATTATGGCCCTAATATGGATAACACCCCGGTATATCCTACATGCATATGTATATGTGTATGTGCGTTAGTATATAATAAGTGAAACTGCAATTACATTTTTCTAACATTGTAAACACAAAAACTAAACTTTATTTATAACTATATGTTGTAATTAATATTTAAATTCTTTTTAGATATGGAGTGCTCTACATATACATACATCTTTTAATTATGATACGAGCCATAGTTATAGTTCAATAACGGATTGAGAAATGGAAATGGTTGGGAATTTGGTTTGAATATACAAATTTTCAAAAAATTTTTATGTGGTGATTGAAAAACTGCTTTAAATATTAACAAGGAATGTCCAAGGTAAAATTTAAAAAAAAAAAGTTATTGTAAAGTTAGGTATTTCTTAATTTTTATTGTTACTTATTGTACTAACATTTATAAGTAATATAAATAACGCTAAATAAGCCTGATAGTGTGTTACACTATTTTAATCGCCAAGCGAGAAAAAAGTAGGCGACTATGATACTCAATTTGTATAATGCAATTTTAAAATGAGAGGGATTAATCAGTATTGCGTATCTCGTTCTCTACAAAAATTCTGTACAAAATTTATTCACTTTGTTTTTGAAGTTCAATGATGCAATTCAAAAAATGCAATTGAAAAAATCAATTATCTTATTAGAAAAATAAAATATTAGAAAAACGGGGAATTCTTGTTTGAAAGTAAATAAAAAGTGAGGTGAAAAAGCAAGATACATGATTAGGTTATAAGCAACTGTGTAATCTTACAATATAAACACATTTAATTATAAGACATATATTATGTACTTATAATATAGTACAAGTACTTGCTATAATTTATAATAGAAATTAAAAGGAAATTGTAACATTGTTTGTTAAAGCTGAAATTTAGCTGGTTTGTAGGTACCTACTTACAGGTTTTAAATTGAAATAATTTGAATAAGAGCATAAAAACAATGGTTTTACTTTCACATAAGTAAATTAAATTTATTTTTTATTTGTTTAAATAATAATTTTTAAATCAAAAAAACATTTGTAAAGCATTTTTTAAGGCCGTAGGCACATTCTTGTTTATTCTGTAAATCGCATCACTCAAAGTGATGAGATATTGAAAAAAAGATTTTGTAGTTTTAAGAATGAAACCAACTTTGAAATTTAAGATTCTATACTGAAAACCTCAATACTTTTTCAATAATATTCCATCACTCAAATAAAATGTTTTAAGGAAATGTTAGGTGTTGTCCAGGTCCACAATATTCTATACATGTAAATATAAATGTTTCATATTATTTTTCTTTTTAACATTTTGTCTTATTAAAATATTTCTTATGTTTTTTCTTCAATTTAAATATTTTTTATTCAAATTTAATTATTTTATTTAGGTTTTACTTTAAAGTAAAAAAAAAGTTATGTTTTTTTTAATTTTAATTTTTTTTTTTTGATGAATTTTTGTTATTTTTTTTTTTTATTATTTTCTTTTAATATAAAGAAATAAAAGATTTTAAGAGACAAAAACCGATATATATAAATTCTAAATATAAATATTTATTTTTTTTTTTCATATATATAATTTTCCAAAAAGTTTTTTTTTTTTAATTTTTTAATTTTTTATTTTTTTAATTTTCATCTACATTTAGTCTTTAATGTTTTGTGTTTTTTTTATTTATTAATTTATTTATAATTTATTTTCTTTAATAATAATTTAATTACAATTAATAAGCGTTTCAATTGTTTTTCATTTTTCTTCTTATATTTTTCTTAAAACATAATAACTTAAATTTATACAATTTATGCTATATGTAATATATAAACATTTATATATATATATATATTTAAATGTATAATAATAATAAATTGTACATTATGTTAGTATCTTATAATTTTAATATTTTTATTAATTCTGTTTTTTTTTTTAATTGTAAAATATGTACATATATAACATATTTATAGATATTGTTTAGTTGATGTACTCAATATATTAAATATATTATATTATGTAATTATTATTTGCGATATTCAAAATTTAATATATAAAATAATAATTATTTATTTAATATTTATTTTTGTGATTTAAGTTTATGTTTTGATATTGAAAAGTAAATAGCTTAATTTTCATGAATTAAAAATTAAAGTAATGCAGTATTAATATACTATTCAGTTTATGAGTTGCAATTGATGAATTGTATATTAATACCGTATTATTGATATTTTGAAGACAGTGAATATTTGAAATGTTTATATAAGCAAGGATGTTTATATTTTATAATTATAATATAATGTAGTTTTTTTGTATATTTATAAATTTTTATATTTACATATTATATTTAAATATATTCATACATACATAAATTACAATCTTAGATTTCAAAATAGCAGTAATATAATATTAATACACGACTGAGCAATTACAACTCATTGGCTGAGTTGTGTTTTAATACAATATTGCTGTAGTTTTGAAGTCAAGCAATATTACAAGTTTTTTTTTTGTTTGTGTTTTGTACAAATTTTTAATATTATTTTTATTTATTTTGGTAAATTTCCTTTTAAAAATAGAGAAATATTTTATAATTTTATTTATTATTTTTTTTTTTTCATTTTTATAATTTTTATATTAAAAAACGATTTTTGTTTTTGTATGTATATTGTAATTATATTAATAATTTTTATAAAACAAAATATATTAGAATGCGTCAATTTATCAAAAAGATAACATTTTAATTGTCCCCTTTTTTAAAATACTTTTACTTGATATTTCAGGATATTTAAATAAATGTCAAGAATTTCAAGTATGTTTTTAGAATAACGAGTTTCCACCAAAATACAGACATGATGTTAACTTAAAAATGTTTAATAACAAATGCTGAATAAGTCATATTGACAACAGATTTGTATTCAACTATTTGTATATATTTTCTAATTATTAATTTAATTCTAGTACAAAATTACCAAAGACAGAAGCTGTTTTTAGATTTTTTGCGCTAGTTATATTAATTATGGGAAAAAATTTTAACTACAAACGCTCTAAGATGTATTTGCAAATGTTACACTATTGAATTATGTTTAAATTTCTTCAATTTTAATTAGAAGTCGTAAAATATTATAATATACCCACATAATTCAATTGAAATTTATATTAACATCACATCACTGTAATTTTGAAGGGAAGAATATTCTAACTTTTATGATTAAAAAGCGTTCTTAAAAGTTTTTTCTTATTTAAAAGTTTTCGATTCAATTTCTCCAATTTAATTAAGTATGCTTGGAATAAGTATTTCAGTAATATTCAAAGTACTATAGATATTTTTTTAGCAGTTGAATAATATAACAATATCTTAATTCAAACTAAATAAATATCGTAATTTTGACAACACCCATTTAAAACATAAAGAATGTTATGAATAAAATAAAAAGTAATTAATATTTAAATAATTTTAGTTATTGATTTAAAAAAATGAATTCTGGAAAATTTCCCATAAATATTCATCGATTCAATGTTACTTAATTTTGAATAAATTGTCACATTCTAATTAATTTTCATTTTCATATTATGTTTTTAGATAAAAAAAATAATAATAAAATTTAACAATAAATTAAAAAATGAATATTAAAAGAAATTCAATACTAAATAAATTTTATTTTAGATTTAATGCATATTTTTTGGTTTTTTTTTATTTTTTTTTATTTTAGAATTTCATTTTGATATTTTTTTTAATTTTAATTAAGTTGTTTTTAATTTTTTTGTTTTTTTTGTTCTTTGCATTTAGAAATTTTTTAAAGAATGATTTTTATTTATTTTTTTTAATAATTATATGAAATGAATAAATTAATAAATTTTACCAAAATACTCAATAATTTTATTATGAATACAAAATGTATAGATTAATTGAATACAGTATGATTTTTTTTTGTTTTTTTTTGTTTAATAATAATTTATAATTTTAATATATTTATGTTTAAAATATTGATATACAAATATGAATTTCGTGAACACGTTGTTGGAGCTACCAAATTAAAATAATAAATCAAAAAATATCAAAATTTAAAAAAAAGTTGGAATATTTAAATAAAAGCAAAAAAAATTTCAATAAATATTCTCATTTATCATGAAAAAAAAGTAAAATAATTCCAATTATTTCAATTAAAATTAATGTTTATAGAAGTCATAAATCTGAATTTTTTTAAATTAGTACTACCCTAACATCTAAGTTGTTATAAAATTCGTAGTATACTGTACGTAATTCAGTTTAAAATTGCCAAATTAATATGTGATAGTAAAATTTTATAACAAATATCTGATTATTAAATCAATATTCATTCCGATTAAACTGAATTGAAATATCAGATGTAGAGAGTATTGATATACGTTGAGTAAAAATATGAATTCTAAATACGTTATAGAATTCGGATGATTGTCTCATCACTTTTTTTGAGAACACAGTGAGAAAAATTTTTTCGTTTTGTGTATTATTAACTTTGTTTTTAATAGATCAGTTCTAAATTAAGGCCAAACCCATTAAAAAATTTAACTTATTCAGCAGTGTTACTGTATAAATTAAAAGTCAACCATAGACTTGAATTTATGTAGATGTGTCGTTAATATTAAACTTATACTGTATGTAAAATTTTTTTCACTACTTCGTGAACCATATCTTTTCTAAGTTAATAAAAATATCTGAAATATGTGTGCACTTACTCAAACTTAAACTGAACTAAGAACTGATATCAAAAAGAAGTAATTTACCAAAGCAAGATTTACATATCAAACATTGTTCTCAGAGTTTATTTGATTTCATTTTTTTGAAGGTTTGATCTGCAGGTATTCGGAGATTTTGTTTGATAGGGATATAGAATACCGTCGAATTAATCCTCTAAAATAATGTATGGATAATATTTGACGTCTAAAATCACTTCGAACTACATATATTTTTGCAGTTGCAATAATTATTAAATTAATTTTTGTCAATTATGGAATCATTTTATACGATTATTAAAAGTTGGCAATTTCTTCTGAAGTTCGTACTTGTTAAAAGTTGATTTCCAAAATATGAAAAAATTTTAGTAATTTATTTTTTTCCTTAAACTAATGATAAATTAGAATATTTTATAAAATATTTAATAAAATTTTAATGATGAATAAAAAATAATAAAAATTAAAATAATTTATTGAAATAAAAAAAAAAATTATGTTAATTAATTATAAATAAAATTTTTTTTTAATTTTTATTATTTTGTGTATAAATTACTTATTTTTTTTTAATCATCACTACTCCGATGTACTGTAACACTACCTTCACTACATTTTGAATCTTGTGATCTTAATTTATTTTTATATTCATCTAATTCTTGCATTCTATACATTCCTAAATGTGCTTGTACCATTAATGTTTCCATAATACGTTCATTACGTAATGATTTTGATGGTAATACAACTGATATTAATTCATTTGGTGATATACGACATAAATCTAAATCACGTGTTAAACGTTCCATAATACAACGAAATTCTAATTGTGTATCGGTATTTGGTGATGTTTTCATTTTTTCAACTTTATATTTAGCCCATGCCAACATAGCTTCAAATTTACGAATTTCCGGCATTTGTAAATCACGGCACATTATCATTTGTACCATTGATTCACTTAAATTTAAAAAATCTATAAAATGAAAGAAAGAAAATATAATATAGCTTTATATGGTTGTCCTTAATTTTAAAAGCAGAGATATACAGTAAACCAAGGAGCTCCCTAAAGTAAATTTATTTTAAATTATGAATTAACATAAAAATAACTAAATTTATTTTTTTCCAATCAATTAAATTAAGTTATTTAATTGTACAACAACATTATATCATTATAATTTTTATAATCATTGAATAAATAATAAATTAATTTTTAATATTTGTTTTTTTTTTCAGATATGCTTACCTGGTAATTTAAATAAGGCAGTTGCTTTATTTTCAACAAATGTTAATATCATATTAACTAATTCTGATGCTGATGTATAACGCCAATAATAATTTTCTAATGATATTAACATTGGACAAACAACATCAATTCTAAGAAATTGTTTACAATGATGAAAACACGCCTGCAGAAGTTCTGGAAGATCATAATGCTCTGCAGCACATAAAAGCCCTATTACAATAATAAATAAACAATAAACAAATAAATAATTAAATAAATGGAAATATTAAAAATTTTCTGAAGTTGAAGGAAAATAGAAGAATCAGCAAAAGGGAGATTTTATCTAAAGGGAGGAAATAATATTTTTTTAAATTTGGAAAATTAAATAATATTTTTCCACGCAGGATTTAATGGAAATCGGAAGAGAATTTTTATTTTTATTTGTTGTTTCAACGAATTATTGAATAAAATGAGATGTCAAAGTTATTTGTAAATTTCGAATTCAAGATAACAAAACAAAATGTGTAAGTTTTCTCTTTCTTTTATTTGTATTGCAGATATAAGAATAGATATAAATTGGAACACAATCGGTGTACAGACAGTCAAACTGGGATGCTCGGATTTTGATAGTTATGAAAATTTGAAATAAAAACAAAATGCTTACCTGGAATTGAAACACATGTCAAAGGACATGTTCCTGTATGTAAATAATCTAAAAGTACTCTAAAGGTTTCTGGATCAAATTCAATAATATTAAATTCAGTCTGTGCCAATTTAGCACGATCAACTTTTTGCGCATCAGCGCATACTGATAACCGCGGCATTGCCAATTGACTATTACTTGGTTTATCTTTACCATCTTTATCTTTACCTTCTTTATCTATATTAATTTATTATTGTGTTCCATACCATCATCAAATAATCAAAAGAAAAAGATAAGACATATGAAGAGAAAAAAAACCATAATTAATTAAAACAATTTTCATTTATTTTTTAATATTACTTGAACAGTCTTGTGATGATGCCCATTTCTTTTTATCTTCAACATTTAATTGATTTGGATTTTGTTTACTTCGTATTGAACGTCCCCAACCGGCAGTTATTGTCCCTAAACGGGAGAAGGCTCTTTTCACCATTGGTGATGATGGAACACTTTTTGGACGTGCTGATTCCATATCCGGTACTGTTAAAAAATTACTTTTTGGTTTTTGATTTTGTGGTGACATTAATGATGGTGCTGGTCTTGCAAATATTTCAGCAACAGGAACTTGTGGTGAGCCAAAACCAGTTTGAATACCATAAAGCATTTCCTTTATTTTTTAATATTAATTAATACATTTAAAAAAAAAAATGGTAAAAATTTTTAAGTGAAATTACCTGAAATACTCGACTTCTAACACCAAGAATTGCACGTACACCAATAAATCTAGCTTTCTGTTTTGATTGTGTTTGACCAACTAGAAATACTACATCAAATAATTGTGCATTTTGTAAACAAGATGGCTCTTGATTTAAAAAAACTCTAGTAAAATCTTTTGCTAATTGGTCATAGTCTTCAAATTGATCACGTACTGAGTCCAAAAGTGGTGATGAAGGCCGCATGTGTCCTAAATATTTTGTCAATTTTTTTTTTTAATTTACGTTTTTATTTCGGAGTAAAATTATAAATGAGTTGGAGAAAAAAAAAAATTATTAAATTTTTATAATCAAATTATAAACGAAAATTTTTTGTTTTCAAATTTAAGTTCGGCTAAAGTAAATTGCAATTATTGGATATTTTAGGATAGTGTGGCAGAAGAAATTTAGTCTAGGGCAAATGTTAAAAAGTTATTTAAAATACAGATGAAAACCAATTTGGAATGGAACCCTCGTTTCCTGCGTTATGAATCTAATACGCGACCACTGGTCTACCGATTTCAATAGATGTAATTATTTTGTCACTTTAATTTTATATATTTAACTTTAATTTTTTTAATTTTAGGTAAAGGGTAAGAAGTAAAAAAAATTGTTCATTAAAATCTATTTGAACATCGACATAATTTTTACAGCTCCTGAAAAATTTTTGATTCAAGAAATCAATTTATATGTCGATTGACAGTAAATTTTAAAAAATGGAACGCATTTTAGAGTTAGTTTTAGATTTAATTAATAGATGTTAAAAAATTTTTTGATTTTAGAGGATAATTTGAGAGTAAATTTAAATATAAATGATGGGTTAAATACAACCCTGTATACATGAACAACTTACAATTTACTGAAGCAAAAACTTAATTTTTTTTATATTATTAAATTTATTATTATAATTTTAACAAATTTTTATTTAAAAAAAGCAAGGAAAATTGAGAAAAACAAAACTAAAATATTTAAAGCATTGTTGCAATTTTATATATGATTATTTTTTCAAAACATTTTATAAATATAAAAAGGATTTAATAATGAAATTTAATGAAAGCAAAATATAACCAAAAAAAAAAAGTACAGAAACAATTTGGAAGTAAAAGCAATAATGAAAAAGAAAGAAAAAAATGAAAAACAAATGATAACAAAAAAAGGATAAAATTTTTTCTTTATACTTTTTTTTTTTTGAATTTAAACACTTTAAGCAAAAATTAAATATGTATGTAGATATGTGAAATTTCTATTGCTTTTATAATTTTTTTTTTCGTTCGAATGAAGATGAATTTTTATTAAAAAGCTCTTCAAAATTTCTGCTCTTATATTAAAACAAAAAAATAGCAAGAAAAACATAATTTTATCAACAACAATTACAAAAAACAAAAAACAGTACAAATTTAAAAACATTGTATAACATTCAAAATTATTTAGTGGGGTGGGCTATTTATAAATTTCTTTCTTAAAAAATTAAATAAAATTTAGGTTTTAGGTAATAAAATATTGAGTTAATTTAAATTTGTGTTCATAGTATTTGAAGTGCATAATAATTATGATACGTGATAATTAAACTGGATATACAGTGATTTTCGAAGAAATTATATACGATATTATGCACTTTCAGTAAATCAGCATAGTATATTATCATATTAACCATCACAGGCACAAGATAAATCGATTATGCGGTACAATGAACGTAGTTGAACGGATACTATATTTATTTTTCAACAAAAATTTCACAGTAATACATTAAAATATAAAAAAAATGTATTTCACCGATCTTACGGCATTAATTTGGTTTCATTAACGCTTTAAGGATTATTATCTGGATAATTTTTTTCATTATAACGTTGAAGATCTATTGAGTTCTAGACAACTTTTGTGTTTGTAATACATTACCGACGGTATGGAGGGTGATGCATTCTTCGTTTGTATAGTTGCTGTGTAAGAATTGAAGATAAGAATGATTTTTATTAGGGTGGGTGGAAAGGCAAATGAATTTTATTCGATTATTAGACCGATTTAAGTATTTTCAAATGTAAAATTTATAAATAATTTAAAAAATAAACTTACAAATGGCCCACTCTTGTTAAATTAAATTTATATATGTAATCTGAAAGATACACAAAATGCACATATGAAATTTTTTAAAATAAACTATAAGTAGATTACAATAAGCTGAATATACTTACAAAAATTTATAAATTTTATACAATTTGTAAATATTTTACTGAATTTATAATAATTATGTGTATATGTACTCAATTTATTTGTAGCATTGTTTTGAAAAGAAAAGTTACTAAATGAGTTTTTTAAATAGTTTTAAATGAATTCATAATATCATGTGGTTTAAGATTGAGGTTGTATTAGATAAAATCACAATTACAAAACAATATTTTAATAATAAACTAAAATTTTTATCGCAAATTTATAATTTTATGTTGTATAATATAATGTTATATTGTATATTTATATAAATTTAAAAATATTACTCCGGTGAGAAATTTTGGTTAATTGCCATATGATTGCAGTGTTAACTTTTTACTTTGATGTGGTATATTTGTACAGACTTTCAAATGAAGTTTATTACAATTACTTGAAAAAGTGATTGAAAAACAATATGCGTTCGATACAATTCAAAAGTTTGTCGCACAATTTGAAAATAAGTTGATTATTGAAAAATGAGTGCAAGGGTATATCATCGTAAATAATTTGGGATTGCAATCAAAATTTGTTTAAGCCAAATTATTAGTCTATTTATTATCCTGTCATATTTTGGATAATATATCTCAATTAGTTTCTAGTATACAGATATAAGTTGTGAAAAACTTAATGAGTTGGAATTTTTTTCCGTATAAGAAGTTACTTATGAGCTTAAAAATAAAATATATGAAAATTTTGAATATGAATTTGGAAGCCAATAAGAAAATGTCAAATTTTCAATGGGGTCTATTAAACAATAATCGACTGTGTATATAAATACAACCACAAATAATAAAAAAGTTTTAAAATATTTTGAAATTATTATGAAAGGATCAAAACTTTTTTTTTTGAAAAACTATATACAAATGGAAACAAAAAAAATTAAAATTTTTTATCACTTAGTTTATATTTTTATTATTATTTCATTTTGTGTTCTTTTTTATTTTTTGAGGAAAATCATAATAGCATGTAATATGAGAGAATTTTTCTGAACTTTAATTATTTGTTTTCATATTAAGAATGTTATTTACCATTATAATTATAACTAAAATGAAAATATTTGAATTTCATTTACATATTTAGTTATTTATATTTGTGGATATATGAAAAAGATTTTCTTATTCAAAATTATATTTGAATTTATTCAGGAAATATTGATCCTGAGGGTTAAAAATTATATTTTTGTATCTTTCTGACCTTGAAAATAAATTATACATTTAGAAATTTTTATTATGTTTAATTTAATTTTTAAAATTTACGAGAATTTTTAGAAATTTTTTTTAAATTTAGTGATTTTTTTTGTTTTGGATATTATGGAAAAAAGACAACAAGATGTTTTATTTAGCTTGGCAAATGAATGTGAGAAAATTTGAATTCTGACATTCCATATAATTATTTTCTGGTATTAGCCAAGGCCATCTTTCCAATATGAATGTGATACAATTTCAGTGAATCGTTTCTTATTATCAGTAGGTCAGTATAAGTTAAAAAAATTTTTAATTTGATTTACTGGTTTTATCAATGTCAATTATTTTACAAAAAGTAAGAATCTTCGGGGCATATTTGTGAATCGATATAATTAAAACTTTTAGCCGTTTTTTCATTGAAATAGGTGTTGTATCAAAGTCACAAGTAGAACATTTCATATTATTCGATTGCGATGATTTAAAATTGAATTTACTTCAAAACAGACCCAAGAACACGCTTAATAACGCTATATAAATTTTAGCTTTAAAAATTGAACAGAAAACAAAAATTATATTTATTTAGTTTTTTTTATATAATAAAAATGATAAAAGAGGTCTTTTGAATATAAATTAATACCGAAAATACAAACTTATTTTTCAATCATTTTTAACCCATAATTATTTACAGTACCTTACCCATAATTATTTTATAGGTTAAATACTCGTACCATTGGAAAAATTTTATAAGTACATAAAAATGGTTATAAAATTAAAATCGATCTTATGATTAATGTTTTTTTTTTATTTTATAAAAAGAGAAATAAAAACAAAAAATTAATAAATATGTAATTATGTATTATAATTAATTTATAATAAATTATTATAATAAAAAGTTAAAAAGAAAAATTGTAACCCGAACGGAAAAAACAAAAGAAGAAAAATATAGAAAAATTTCATAATAATTATAAAAGGATCATAGAAGAGTAAAACAATGGATGAGTAAATGGAAAACAAAATAAATGGAACGGGAAAAGGAAGGATCAAAACAAAAAAAATATAAGGAAACGAGTATAATAATGGTAAAAAACCTATTATTACACTGAAGAAAAAAAAATGGAAAACCATAAGCGTAACCACCGAAAAATTATACAAACATTTTTTTTTTCTATGGAACAGGAAAGATTTATTTTTTCTTCTTTCTATTGAGTTTTTCTTTCTTTCTTTTCTATTGGGTTTTGTAATTGCGTAAGTTGATTAAAATTTTATAGGTTTTCTTTTTTTATGATTATTGTAAATAATTATGAATTCATAGTATTTATGAGTAGAAGAGTTTTCGAACATTAATTTATGGAATATTAAATTAATTATTTAACATTTAATGAAAAGTTGTGTAAGAGTCTTTGCTTGTAATATTTTTTTTTTTGTTTAAAAATGATTTGAATTACAAAGGTGTATAAATGGAAAATTTGATGAATTTCAATTTAAACTAATAAAATTTCAAATTTTTAATTTTATCTTTTAGAATTCAGGAGCACTCAGAATTTGATTTGTGTGGGATTTCGTTGTATTAAAGCTAACTAGTGTACCACAAGGAAAGGTTCATTATCATGTGCAATTGTATGTGATCTATTTTAATAAATTTATACTATACTTCCTACTGCTCCAAATGCGATATAGATAATTTTTAAACAATATTTGAGATAATAAGGGAAAATGTAAATTAATTCGTATAATGTAATGTTTGCATGCTCTGTAAATTTTTTAAAATTTTAAATAATTTGTAATCTTTTAAAGTAGTATGCTAAATAAAAATTAGTTTTTAAGAA